CACATCCACCAAGATCAGCTGCCTAAAGGGGACACAGGTGGGACACAGGAGCTGAGCAATCCTGACAGGCAAAACTGCAATTCCCAACATTAATAAAACCCTGTGACGGGGCCTGCAGGTGGCATGTTGGTTAAGGTACTGGACTTTCCACATGGCCATTGGTTTGAGTCCCAGACCTGCTGGCTCGCTTTCTCATTCTCCCTCTCTCTGTGTCCCTGTCTCTTTCTGGTGACACCAAGTGCCCTAGAGAAAATTTAAAAATAGTAGTAATGATAATCAATAAAATTAAATAAATAATTCTTTTTAAAATGTATGATTTCCCCATTTTATGCTTAGACTCTAAAATAAATAATTAAAGGAGATAGCTGTGCTTTCTGTAGAAAATGGCCCTACTGTCATGTGTGTCAAAAGGACATCACCTGAAGGAGATAAATTTGTGGGTCTTAAGGGATGTCCTCCCCTACAGGAACCCAGTCAGCTTCTTGATCCGGAAAAGACGATGCGCACAACGGTGGCCCTCAGAGAAGCTACGAGAATATACAGCTGAGATCCTGGTATGGGAGTGGTGAGAGCGGGAAGGAAGTTCCTGGTGACGGCTCAGATGGCAACAGTGACACGGACCACAACTTGCTAGAGACAGGAAGGCTATTTCAGCTGGCGAGTCCTTAACTTTTCAGAAAATAACCCAAGTGTACTGATTTGTTCCAATTTTATATGCAAGTGATAAAAAAAAAAGTAAAGCTGACACTTTACAAGACAGTTTGGCGGTTTCTGACAAAAGTGAATTATTTTGATCACAGAATCTAGCAATTATACTCTTTGGTAGTTACCCAAATCAGTCGAAAATTTGTATCCACATAAAAAAAAAATCTACACATGAATGTTTATAGCAGCTTTATTCATAATTGCTCAAACTTGAAAGCAACCAAGATGTCCTTTAGTAGGTGACATCGATAAACAAACTGTAGTACATCCAGACACTGGAATATTATTCAGTGTTAAGAAGAAATGAGCTGGGCCAGCAAGTGGCATGGTGGTTAAGGTGCTCAACTACCACTTGGCTGACTGCGGTTTGAGTCCCAGACCTGGCAGCCTGTGGCCTGCTTTCTCTCTCTTTCTCGCTCTCTCTTTCTCTCTCTCTCTTACTCACTCATGAGCACACATGAACTATAGCAAATTTAAAATAATAATAATAATAAATAGAATTAAATAATATTTCTTTTAACAGAGAGATTTTTGCTATAGGATGCATGTCTTGCCAGAGAGACAAAGAGACAGAAAGCAAGAAATCACCACCCTCCCCCTAGGGAGGATGACCATACTGCAATCCCTTCTTCTCCATTCTCTTCTCAGGATCTTGGGCATGCACATAGATGTACCTGACATGAGTTTTAAGCCACCAGGTCTGGGACTTGAACCACAGTTGACCATATGGGAGTTTGGCAATACAATCATTATGCCCCCTGCTGGTCCTAAATAATTCTTTAAAAAAAAAAAAAAAGAAATGAGCTGAGCTATGAAAAGAAATGAAGGAATCTCAAATGTATATTGCTAAATTTAAAAAAGCCAATCTGAAAACTACATACTGAGTGATTTTAACTATAAGGCATACTGGAAAATACAAAACTATGGAGACAATAGAATGGCCAGTGATTGCCCGGGTTGCGGGGAAGGAAGGATGAACGAATGGAGCACAGAATATTTTTAGGGCAGTGAAATGATCTGCATGGCAGTATAGTGGTGGATAGATACCATTGTATACATCACCATACATTCGTCCAAACCCACAGAACGTGCAGCACCAAGACTGAGTTCTCACGTACACAGTGGACTTTGGTTATTAACACCATGTCTATTTTGGTTCACCAATTCTTTTTTTTTTTTTTTTTTTGGCGGAGTTTTTGCTATAGGGCATGTGCACTCACCAGACAGACAAAGAGAGACAGAGAGAGAGAAAGCGAGAAATCACACCCCAGGGGGGATGGCCATGCCACAATCCCTTCTCCTCCATTCTCCTCTTGGGATCTTGGGCATGCACGTACACGCGCCCAGTGTGAGTTTTTAGCCACCGGGTCCGGGACACGAACCGTGGTCGACTATGTGGGAGTCCAGCGACATAGCCATTATGCTAACTGCTGGTCCCTGGATCACCAATTCTAACAAACGTACCACCTTGGTGCTGGATGGCAATGATGAAAGAGACTATGTTGGGGTAGAGGAGGCATATGGGGGAACCTCCTGCATTTCCCCCTCAATTTTGCCAGGAACCTCAAATGGCCCTAAAAAAATAGTTTATTAATTAAAACAACAACACCAACAAAATAAAACAGAACGAATAGACTTAAAGGAAAAAGTAAATCACATCTTTACACTAGCCTTGAAGACCTGCTTCCCAGAGACACATAAACTTAACAAAATCTTGTGCATCATTCTAGAACTTCAATACACATGCAAGATAAAACTAGATATGATGGTTCCATAGAATCCATTTTCCTTTTCTTTCAATAACAGAATCAACCAAGTTTTTACTAAGCACATACCCAACCTACTAGTAACATACCTCCCAGCCTCCCTTGCAATTAAGCAGAGCCATGAGACCAAGCTTCTGACCACAGAGCATGAGCAGAAGAGATGTATGTTCCAGGGAAGGAAAGTGTTCCCAGCCATTTCTCTTTGCACCCTTTCCTCTCAGCTGAAATGTGACTCTGGTCTTCTGAGGTGGCTCTGAGCACAAGGAGGAAAAGCCCACACTGATAGTGGGTCTTGAATTTGAGTGTACAAAGAAGCTCTTTGATATTTGACAGTCTGGTGATGCTATGGACTCCCTCTCAGACCAATGTTTTTGAATATGTAACATACTGGGTTGTCGGAAAAGTCATGACATATTTTTCTGGCTTTTCTAGGCAAAAGACAAAAGGAAAGCCAGCAGGTGGCATGGTGTTTAAGGCGCTGAACTCCTACATGGCTGACTACAGTTCAAGTCCTGAACCTGGAGGCTTGAAATTCAAGCTGAGCACATATATGTGTGTGTGTGTGTGTTGCCAAAATCCCAGGAGAATAAAAGAGAAGGGATTATGGCATGGCCATCCCCCAGGTGATTCTCATTTTCCCTCTTACTGTCTCTCTGGCAAGTGCACAGGCTATGACAAAACCTTAAAACACACACACACACACACACACACACAAAAGGTTACAAAAGCAACAGGATATATTGAAACATAGTTGCTTCTCAAAATGTGTTAGAGTATTATCTGTGCCTCTTCTTTAATACATTAAAAAAACAAATTTTGGGAGGCCAAAATTTGGCCTCTGCAGGTGGCAGAGTGGTTAAGGCACTGGAGTCCCACATGGCTGACTACAGTTTGAATCCTGACCTGGCAGCTTGCTTTTTCTCTCTCCCTCTCTGGTAAGCACATATGCTCTGTAGCAAATTTTAAAATAATAATGATAAATGGGATCAGATAAACAATTCTTAAAAAAAGAAAACAAATTCTTGAGATAAAATAACTTTTGAAATTTCAAAGTAGGGTGAACATACATGATATTTTGAGACATCTGTAATAGCTATAATATGACGTGAAGACAGGTGCTTTCTACTGGTTACAGCCATGATTTCTGCTCACACGATGGAGCTTTGCTGTCTCCATTCATATTAAAAGAACATGCTACGTTTCCATTCAAGGTTGGTGAAATAAAGATGCAGGTTTTCACCCATCCAAATTCACAGACCTGTGACTCCTCTCTGGAGATGTTAGGTAAATACCTTGCTCTATGGGAAGAAGGGTAATAGGTCCCCAGACAGCTTTATGGGGAAAAGCTGCTACTCTCCTCAGACCATCTGTTCTGTCTGGACTACTCCATAAGAGACAACATCTTGATCTGGCTCTAGCCATTATATTGTGGGGTCTCTGTTACAACAGTTTAGCCTAGGGGCTACCTGAAATATATGCATAGTTTAAAAGTATCAAACAAGATTACACTAAACACAGCCTAGAGAAGCAGAACGTAGGGTGGTTATAAATTGGCTCTGGAAGCTAATGGCCTAAGTTCTAATTCCAGTTGTGCCACTTTCTGCTGTGTGGACTTTGGACCAGTTACTCAACCTCTCTGAGTCTCAATTTCCTTACCTGTAAAATGAAGATAATAATATCTAGGGGACTAGCTGGTGGTGTCATAGTTAGGGTTGCTATATCCTAGATGGCAAACTGTGCGGTTCAAGTCCTAGGCTCTACAGCTTGAGAAGCACATGTGTGCGCATGCCCAAAATCTTGAGAGGAAAATGAGGGGCAAAGGATTGGGGCAGAGCCATTCTCCCGGGGGGTGATTTTTCACTTTGCTTCTCACTGTCTCCTCTCTGGCAAGCATATGCACCCTATGGCAAAAACCTTAAAAAAGAGAAAGCAACATTTACAATAAATTATTAAAGTATCAGGGAGCTCTTTGTCTTTTTTTTTTTCTTCTTTTTTGAGAGAGAGATTTTTGCTATAGGGAATGTGTGCTCATGAGAGAGAGAGAGCGAGACAGAGAGACAGAAAGTGAGAAATCACCTACCACGGGAGTGCAAGTCTTTCTCTTTCATTCTCTGCTAGGAATTCTGGGCACACACACACATCTGGCCTAAGTTTCAAGTCACTGGGTCCGTGACTGAAACCGTAGTCGACCATGTGAGAGTCTAGTGCCTTAACCGTCATGCTACCTGCTGGCTGCCCCTTTGTCTTTTTAAAAGTTTCTTTCTTTCTTCCATAAGAGAGAGAAACAGAGACCCAGAGAGACACTCCCCACAGATATTCTATGCTGGCATCCGCCCCCGCCTCAGCCAGCCAGGATCACAGGCACATAATTTGAGCCTGCTATGTACAGGGAAGCCTCAGGATGTCAACCCCGGACCTTTCTGTGCACTGTCAGCCTCTTGGAGCACTGTTACCACTGCACCACTGAAGCTGGCCCTTCCTCTCTTTTCATTTCGTGGATTGTCCTTTGGTCAACGTGCATCCACTTACTTAAGCAACCCGGCCCGGTGGAAGACGTAGAGATCCTGCTCGAGGGTGCAGTTGTTGAAGGGGACCATCTTCACGAAGTTCTGGATGAGGACAAACTCAGGGGTGAGATGGGGCAGAGAAATTATGCAGAAGTTCTTGTTCTAACATGGTCAAAAGCCAGGACACATAGAAAGAACCAAAAAGCATTTGTCAATACATACATTCCTACTGTAAGACACTAAGAAAAAGAAGCAAAATGCATTAATTAAGGAGAGGATACTCGAACTAAACTTTCTTATAATTTGGAAAGTAATTACATAAAATTCAGAGAGATAAGTAATGGAATGTGGAGAACATACCTGTGAGTCTGATTAAAACCTTTTATTAATGAATATTATAAACAATGGCATCTATCCAGCATAGCACTTTACAGATATATATTTCTTTTTAGGCTTTTTTTTTTTTTTCATAAGAGAAAGAGAAATTAAGACCCCCCTTGGCAGATCCTCCCCAAAAACCTGGAGCCAAAAACCAGGATTACATGAAGGCCAGGGGTATTCAGGGAGACCTAGGAACAGAACCCAGAGTCTTCCTTTATGGCCTCAAGCATTATGCAACAGAGCTCCTACTGCTTGTGCCACTGTGGCTGGGCCTGGAAGAAGATTTTTAATGCACTTGTAAATTCACTTGCATCACCAAGTAGATGAGGTGCCATGGTATTGAAGCAAATGCCTTGTGCTTATTAAGTGACCTTATGTCAGCCACAACCCCCTCCTCTGAAAGATGAAGTGGTATGACTCAGGCTTTAGGGGACTCTAAACCTCTGCGATTACACAAAAAGGGGTGTGTGTATTTTATCTTGACATGGTTCCATTTGGGTGAGCAGAACCAGGGGTGTGGTTGAACGCGGGCAGCAAGTTTAGTTAGCAGACACGGGAGGATCTGCATGTTCTAGTATCACTTACCTCCCAGGCTGCGCCATCCTGCAAGGTAGCCAATGGGCACAGGGGGCCATCAGCATTTGCAATGTGGTTAGAGTGAATGAGGAGCTGAACTTTACATTTTATTTTACTTAAATTTCAATTTAAAAACTGATGCTCAATTTCATTATTGGAAAAGTTTTATGTGTGTTTGCAAGTCTATTTATCCAACCTGAGTACGTGAGTCCAATTATCCAACTATAAATTTTATAAAATGTAAACAACAGTTCAAGTATTTCTGATGAAAATGTAGTGCGTGTCTTCAGATGTATTATGGATATAAAATACACATTGGATTTCAAAGACTTAGTAGGAGAAAAATATATAAAGTAGCTCATTAATATTTGTTCATATTGATTACATGTTGAGGCAACTAAGTTTGGGACATAGTGAGTTACAGGAAATACATATTCACGTGCATTTCACGTGTTCTTTTTTACTTTTTCGGGTCACGTGACCACTACTGTGGGCTCACACCCCTGTGTGTGGCTGGTGCCGCTCCAGGTTGCCTGAGCTCCACACAGCCACCTGATGCACTGCCAGGTCCCTACAGTAGCAGCCTGCTCTTCCCAGAGCTAATTTGTCCCTTCGGGATCTCGCCTCCCCTTGAACCCTGTAAAGGCATTACTTGAGCTAATCTAAAACCCGGGGGACATCCGTGCAACCCAAAGGAGTGAATCACTCTTTGACCTTATCTTCCTCCTTTCTAGCAAAATAACACGGATCCTGGTGGGGAACTATAGACTCAAGTTACTGAAATGCTCAAGGTGCAAACAGGATTGGGTGCCAAGTCTCACTGTGCTTCCTCTGGGAGGGGGAGGCTAACTCTAATGAGTTTCTTCAACTTGGATTTGAAGGATTAAGGATGAAGTAATGAAAGTATTTTGTTCCTGTCTCCCCATATCCTGAAATCAAACATAATTGAGATAAAAACAGATCTTTTACCTCTTGAAAGTCAGCATTATTTTTTAAATGCTGAAGATTTGCCTTTACACAGATTTTAAAACAGGAAAGAAGTAAACTTGGTAAAATTTTCTTTGAGGGATTTTTGAGGGAAAATAACTTTGTAGATTCTATGTTCAGGTTGATCTTTATTGCTTTATGTGAGGTTTTGTTTTTGGTTTTGTTTTGTTTGTTTGTTTTGAGAGGTTTTTGCTATAGGACTTATGTGCTCGCCAGAAAGACAGAGAGGGAGAAATAGAAAGCAAGAAATCACCTCCCAGAGAGGCATGAGTTTAAGCCACCAGGTCCAGGACTCGAACCGTGGGCGACTACATGGGAGTCCATCAACATAGCCATTACACCAACTGCTGATCTGGCTTTGTATAAGTTTAAAAATGCCTTAAAAGTAAATTTTAAGGGGCCATAGTGATTAAGGCGCTGGACTCCCACGTGGCTAATCGCAGTCTGAATCCCAATTTGCATGCCCAAAATCGCAAAAGGAAATTGGAGGAGAAAGGATTGTGGTATGGCCATCCCCCCAGAGGCTGATTTCTCATTTTCCCTCTCACTGTCTCTGTCTCTCTCTCTTTCTCCAATGAGCACATGTACCCTATGGTTAAAAACCTTAAATTTAAAAAAAAAATACATTTTTAAAAATTACAATGGAAAACATACTGCCTAATTACAAGGTTTCATTATATTTTAAAAAATGAAGATGGGACGCTGGCCCAGCCGCAGTGGTACACGGGGAGGGCGCTGCTGCACAATGGCAGATGACACAGGTGAGGCGCGTATTCAGTTGTTGGCCTGACCTGAGCAGGCTGGGTGCAGTGGCATGTACCTGTGATCCCAGCTAACTGGGAGAACAGGGCAGGAGGATCACAACAAGGTGAAAGCCTGTCAAAAATCTCTCTCTCTCTCTCTCTCTCTCTCTCTGAAATCTCTCTCTCTCTCTCTCTGTCCCTGATCCCTTTTCATAAACTAAAATGAAATCAAGTAAGAAAATAAAAGCCAAGATCAATAGTGTTGAGGCAACGTAATTAAGCCATACTTGTTTTTGCCTCATATAAAGAGCATCAAGGAAGAATAAGACAATAACTCTCTTGCTTGAAATTAGTCAACGAAGCACAGTTGTTGATTTCACTTAATCAACAGAAAGTTAGCTACAGAAAGACCCACTTTCTTCCCTTTGGAAAAGTGATAAGAGGTTGCTTAGATCTCCATTGCAGACAATAATGAAGTGAGACTGGAAGGAGAGGCCCAGGACACCCTGAAATGGAGTGTTTTACTCATTCTTGGATGTTGGCCCTGGGGCCCATTAACCAACATGGGTCGAGCCCTCCTACATACCAGGCACTGAGTCTGGCCCAGGAACTAGCAAGGAAAGAAATATCAACCTAAAAATCAGCCACAGTTCCTACTTTCCTAGTCTCACAAAAGCAATATGATGGTTCCAGATTACTCTGAGCCACTATAAGCTAAAAAATATAACAATCTAATTCACTTCAGTGTGATTTTTCACATTTTCTTATACTATTGGCAGGTCTATGAATAATTTGATTATAATAAAATACCAGTTAAGCTATCTCTAAAATAGATAATGCATTTTTAAAACTGTAAAATGGCATTGCCAATTACTGAAAATGACAAGATGTTCTATTATTAAGAGTTCATAGAGAGGGGAGGCAAGATGGCCTACTAGAAGCACCCACTGTGCCATCTCTCTGCGAAGTTTAGTCATTGCCTTTACTTTCAGCAGAGGAGTGAGGTGAGACTGATTTAGCACTAGACAAAGACCGCAAGTGCTTCTGGAGCACGGAATCTCTACCTGGAAAAGTAATCGATCGCCTAAACTCAATGAGGTTCCCGAGCCCCCCGCCCCACACAGGATAGGGGGAGGCAAGAGGACCTCTCCTCCAGAACTCCAAATTTCTTACTCTCACCTTCAAAACTCCTCATCGGCAGAACAATGAAGCAGGAGTGGAGCTAACACTATCATAGAAAATTTCACCAATGTTCAACCTCAAAGAAAACTTTGACACTCCCATCCCAACTCCACTCTGAGCCCAGAGAGCTTGGTGCCATCTTGGCAGCTGACCAGGGGATGGGTGGACCTTGGATTGAGATGGGATGAGGAATCCGGCCACTCAGCCTGGCTGAAACAGGAAACACAGCACAGAGGTAAAGAAAACCCTCCATCTCGGGGTGTGGGAGTGGGGTCAACACCCTCCATGACAGAAGCCTACCAGTGTCCCTATGCTGGAGGATCTGTGCATCCCTCCTCTTCCACCAGGGTGTGGAGTACAAAAGCACCTCTCCCACCCCTAACAGAGACTGAGGAACCTGCACTCTTCCCCATGACTGCTGGACAGGGCAGGCCTGCACTCTCCCTCCCTTCAGATGCAGGTCATGGGGACTTGCTACCTCCCCCAACTTAAGCCACCACGGTGCAGCTTCTCTGGGCCTCCCTGAACTGTGAGTGTGGGCAAAGGAAAGGAGAGGGGCGCCTGACAGAGGAGGACACCAAAGAGTCCCGATCCAGGTCAGAGGGAGAAGACTGGGTGCTGCCCAGACCACCTCCTGACCCTACAGTGCGCAATCAGCCACCTAACTCCTAGCACGGGTCTGCTCAAACTGAGTCAGCCACCTTGAAACCCATGCTTTGTAAGTTATGGTCTCCAGTGAAGGTTGGACAGAGAGGCTTGCCTCTGCCCCCTCTTTAACAGCCTTCCCAGGGCCACATTCCAGACTTCAGGGATGTCCCCACCATCAAAGTTTCCATGCAAACCACAAAGGACCTGCTTATAGGTTCTCACAGACAGGCTTGTTTACGGCCCTCCTGGATGAAATTGCCAGGCCTGCATTCGGGTTCAGCGGGCTCCCTCATTCCCAGAAATTATATGCAGGTACACAAGCCCTGCTTGGATCTGAAAAGCACAGCTGGTATCTGACCCCTCCTGGACCACCTTTGCCAGGGCCCTATCTGGGCAATGGGGCCCAATCTGCTCCCAGAAAGAAGACAGGTCCAACAGACTCTGGGGGCCACATAGATGGGGCACACCTCCTCCTCTCTCTGAATGCTTTTATAGAGCCATATTCAGGCCTGGAGGGTCCCTTGCCGCAAATGTTTCATGCAGGCTGCACTTGCCTCCTGGGTCTCAGAGATAGGCACGCCTCTGGACTGCCTCATCCCGGGAAGTTACAGGCAGATACACAAACCCTGCTTGGATCTTAAAGGC